TTAAATCAATCAGTCAGTCTCATATCTAAAGGGTCAATTCTCTTGGCAGGGATGGAGAAATAGGAAACACACACATTTCTTGATTATATTACAGTGAATTTATTCTCTAACTACTGTGATAAAAAGATGGTTGGATACAGGGAACATAAACAATTGCTGAACAATGAGAAATGGAGTTCGATTGTGGGAAGCATTTGACTCATAAGGCATAGGAAAACTAATGAAAGTAAGTTAACACTATGAGTTTAGGAGTTAGAGGGGACATCCCTGACTGCAGAATGTGTGTTAAGTCTTACTGCTTGTCGGCGGCCTGCTTGGCCTTTTGCTGGTCCCACGCTAGCTGCCGATCCTGGCTTTTTGCTAGGGATTCTCCGGGGTTCTCCGTGTCTGATTGAAAACGCCTCCTCCGTCTGGCAATTCGGCTGTTTTCAGGTTTCCTTCGTTGCAGCTGGCGAGACCACGTGGCTTGGTCTGACCTCGGTGAAGTTGGCTTGACGAAAAAGGCTTAAAATGGAACATGGTCGAATTAGTCCAGTGTAACTTAACGGACTGATAACTTTAACAAACAAAAGAAATAAAGAAAATAAAAACAAACTGAAGGGCTGATCGATGTCTCGGCACTTCACGTGTGTAGCTTCAAGCGAAACAGAAGGGCCTGTTTCGCTGGTCGACTCTGAGGACGTTGCCTGGCGCGGCACGCCGACGTGTACCGAAGCGTACAGAGAGCCGAGCAGAGCAGCGGAGAGAGCAAGGAGCGAAGAGAAGAGAGCGAAGCGAGGTCGCGTGTCGCTCTTTTGTTGCCTGGGGCGTGGTTCCCCAGGGGGCGTCTCAGGTTTCCCAGGGGACTGCTTCTCTAAACTTAATGTCTAAAAAGAAAAGAGATCTATTTGTGCGTATTATAATCAAATATTTTCCACAATCGAACCTCAATGGTCCAAGGTTGTACTGTTCTAGGCATTTGGTAACAGGAAACAATTGTCACATTATTGGTCAGGATATTTATACATTTAATGGCATTTCCAACGAGGGCATGTAATACTTATTTTGTCCACTTGGGGGAGCTCAGGTTACATGATGATATTGTTGATTCATCCTTAAATTCAAGCTGGCGGTTAAGAGTATAGTAAAACATTCCTTTGTCATCATTTCTAAAGGAATTTTGTAGGAAAGTATTATGAACAAGCATTGATTACATTAGATGAAGGAGTGTCTTGCTGAAAATAAAAACACTGCAAAAGCAACTTTCTTTTCAGCACTAATATCAACAACGGATAGCAACATGTTAACATAACCACTCAAATAGAGGCAAACGTAATCAGGTAACTAAAGATTTAATTAAACTTAATTAAATGCTTTGAGTCTTTGGAGAATGCAGTCTTTTTTACATTGAAAGTTCGGCTGTCCTGGATTATGTCACACTTAGGTGAGACAAGGAGTATCCCTTTGATGGGATAATAAACAAAGAGCAAGGTCAGTTGCCACGGAAACATGTGTGTGGGGGGGGGGGGGCAGTTTTGATGTTTATGTTCAGGGAAATGCTAATGGCTGGCTTGTGTCCCTTTGTCAGTTTAACAGTCAGGCCCCGCGTTATCAGCTTCGGGATCAAAAAGGTGCCAGTTTTATGGTGGGGCTAGCACTTAGAGAAAGCAACTTTGAAAGGAATTTAGAGTAGCTCCAAATTTATTCAATATAAAATGCACAAATCCACACCGTTGTTCACTACAATTTATACCTGTCTGGCCAGACAAGGAACACCTTAATCTTGATGACTTGTTTCTGACCAAATACCATGCCTATAGAGAGCCAACGAAAACGTAACTTCCGAGGTCTTTTCCAGAAGTAAGAAAACCTTTTTAGAAAACTAAAAATCCAGCCTTGGAACAAAGCACCGTTTGTCTTGTGTCTTGCTTCGTATATTCAGAGAAGATGGTAGTTTTTTTACGGTCTAATATTGTTGTTTATTGAAAATGGATGGTTTGTTGCAGCCTTTAATGAACACCATTTCCCAATAGCCCCAGACATTTATGGCCTAAACGTCACGGCTTGACGGAAGAGGCGAGTCATATTGTCAGACATGTCTAGAATAACTGCAAGACAGAGATGAGTAGATGTAGCTGTAGATGTTTTAGACAGCAGAGATTGCAACAAGAACGTTTTACAAAAAGACAGCATAGTTGAGTTTTATGGATATGGATGAGACCATAGAACATAGAAACATGAACATAGTGTCCTTGACATCCCCAATAGGTTTCTGAAGAGATATTGTGAAGTTCAATGTCACGTGGCTCCTGGAGGCTCCGGCCCTCGCCATCTTGGCAGTGCCAGACTCAAACATAGGCAAAGAGGTGGATCTGAGGCTGGCCAAATGAAGTTGCTGAACCACTTAGCGGCTAACCACCTGAGAAGGCACCCCGCTGTCACTCAAAGCAGCCACATCCTTTATTATGCATGACTTTAAGCATTAATATAATTTAAACTGGTAAGTTAAATAAACATTTATTTATTCAAAAGTGTTTTTTGCACCAAGTTGAGCCATTCGATGAACGCCAGTTTTTGGCACTTAATGAATGAAGCAAGATGCAGGCCTTCTGTGGTAGTGACGACAAAGTTTGGAAATAACAATCATGGAGGACAAACTGGTGGTGGTTGTTGCTGGATACCCTGAGCCATTTGTTTTTACCACCAGTAGTTACAATGTTTTGAACAGAAACAGCATGCCTGGAGGCAAATTGTCTGATTGGTTCCTTACTCGTCCGTATGTCATGTTATTCACTTTACTGTCTAGACAAAGATGATAAATATGCTTATTCGATTTTTCTGCTTTTAGTGGCCTTTAAGGAACACCATTTCCCGTAAAGCCTCCACCATTGCCGATTAAATTTCACAGCTCAACGAGGTGAGTCCGTGGATTAGTCAATGGGTCGTGGTTAGACAGCAGAGATTACATCTCAAAAGTAAAAGAAATTACTGTAGAAGAGGTACTGGTGAATATTAAGGCTGTGGAAGAAATCCAGTTACAAGTCCCCATGCTGCTGTGCTTTTAAATGTTCATAGGAGCTGTAGTTTATTTCATGCTCACAAAGTAATCATTGTTTACCTTAGTTAAAATATACAAAGGTAAAGTAAACCAAAGGAACACTTCATAAAGACAAAAGAAAGAAGTGCTCTATGACAGAGTGCTTTGAGTTACAGCAGCTAGTAGGACAGAGGCTTAAGCCCAGACGTAATGTCAGGACTTTATAGTTATATTGTAGGTAAGGCCATTCCTAGGCTCTCTTTTGCTGAATAAATGCCACGGCAGGACAAACGTAACACACAGGACAGAAACAAAGGAAGCCAGGAAGCTCTCCCCTCATAAATAAAATCAGTATGATATAAAACAATGTGTCACTGTTTGGAGCATGGGATAGCACAACTCACCTCTCATTGGACTTCTACCTAAAGATCCCAAAAATGCCATACTGAGTTTGGTGGAAATGTGTATACTAGGGCTGCAGCTAACAATGATTTTAGTATTCGAAGCGTCTATAGATTATTTCAATGATTCATCGATGCGTCGTTTAAGAAGTACTTTTGCTTGGCGGCGGCCCCGTAACAGGATCAGCTGTGCATGTTTATAGCTGATAGATATTTATTGGTCCTTTCGGAAATTCATAGTGTCATACAGCAATCATCAGACCAACAACCAGACAGCTGTTTGCAAACACAAACATCACCCGAGTGTTATACAAGTTATACTAAAGGCTTGTGCAGACTACACGACTTTCAGCGTCGGCCGATGGCCATGCGGTTCACACTACACAACTTGCTGTCATGTGAAAGGGATCTTAAAGTCGTTGTGGCATTTACACTACATGACTGATCACTGACAGGGTGTCACACACTACACGAGCTGACTGCAGCTGTGTCACCCGACGCTGCTCTCCAAACCACGTTTAGTCAAGAAAACACACATGAAATGTGAAACTGGAAATGAGCGATCCTGCACACGAAACAGCTGTTGTTTGTTATTATAAAGATAACAGTTATAAAGACAAAGAATCTGGCTGAAAGGATGGATTAGCACGCGCAGGTAGCAGGGATTGTCTGAGCTACAGAGAGAGCTGGAGGTGAGTTAAAAGGTGCAGCTCCCCGACACCCAGTTAACTCATGACTGTGAGGTTACAACTCATGGCCCAAAAAGGAGAACAACAAACGCACGTGTGCACATTTTCAGCTGAGGACTGCGGTTTACTTTGGTTAGCTTTCAACTGAACAATCAATCATGATTTCAGTTAATTGCTAAAGTTGCTGTTACTGTTACCTTGTCTGTGGTCAGCTGGCAGAACACCGGGTGCTTTCTGCTCAGCGTGCCGTTGCCGAGGCGACATCAATTTTGTTTTACGATGGACGGACGGTAACATTACAGAGTTGTTGTTTTCTTGAGCTTGAAATAATCCCATACTTTGCACACTTTCGTCTTTGTCCCTCGCTATTTTCTCTCTCTTCCTCCACTTTGCAAACAGCGCCATAATAATCACGTCGTGTTCGAAGCGTAAGCGCAACAGTAATAAATGTCCTTGAGAAACAGTGTGCTGTATAGTTACATTGATTAAACGAAGCGTTGATGCAAAGAATTTGCATTGATTCATTTTAGTCATCGATTTAATCAATGAATCGTTTCAGCCCTAGTGTATACAGTAGGGCTGACCCTGAATAGTCGAAGATTTGATGCTTCGATGGGCGGAGCCTGATTCAACTGTCAATCTCACAGTCGAAGCTTCACAGTGAAACAAGGATGATGCCATTTTGGCGATGTGGGGGTGCTCAACATCTGAATTTACATAGAACTACCAGTTTTCTCCCAATAAGTTAATATACAGCCTATTACAATATATATTTCAAAGTTTAATGCTGTAAATAAACATGTAAAAAAGAAAAAACTGTCATAATAAATAAATGTTAAAATAAATGTTTTTAAAGTGCATGAATAAATCCAAAATTGTAACCCTAACCCTGGGTTGTCAGTGCGCAAGTATAGGCGTAGCGTGTATGTAGTGGCAGAAGAGGAACACTTGCTGAAGAGATTGACCCCCAGCTTCGCTGGTGTTGTCCCGCACCTCGCAGGACTTTAGGATAATTTATCACCATTGATTAACTACACAAAGAATATTTTATAATTTTTAAATAGCCGGCTACTTGAAATAGACTGGCGAGGAACCGCGTCGCGCATGCAGTTGTCGGCAGCACGGAATGCATGCAAAACTCTGCACAAGACGTGTGAATGGCAAGAGAGAGAGAAAGAGAGAGAGAGAGAGAGAGAGAGAGAAAAGGGTCTTTAAAAAGACTGAGTTTAGCTGGAAATTTACAGTCTACGTTGAATGAATAGAGACTGCAGCTCTGCAGCTTCTCAAGATTAATCACCATGTGTTATCCCCCCCTTCACCCCCGGCTCGCAGTCGCCGCGCACAAAAACACACATGATTCGACTATCATTCAACTATAGGCAGGACTTGACGATCTGATTTGACTATGTAAATCCTTAGTCGGGGATAGCCCTAGTATACAGGTTATGCATTTGACATTCAGAAAATTTGCACATGATGTACAGTAATGTTGCAGTTATTTAACTATGGCATCTTTGGATATTCATTTCAGCGGAAGAAGAATGTGAAAAAAGGTTATTTAACCTGGAATACGTAGCAACTGAATAAAAATGTAGCCCTTTTAAGCCTCTAGTCCACCTACTAGATAGGATGTTAAAAGTTGCCGGTATAATGGCAGTGGATTCACTTTTTCAGATTTAATCTCAAGATGCTTTGTAAAGCTGTCTTAGTGATAGTGGGTAAGTGCGTGTGTGAGTGTGTGTGTGTGTGTGTGTGTGTGGGTGTGTGTGTGTGTGTGTGTGTGACACAATCCTTTGTACTGTCCATCCTTTCATCACAGAGTGTTTCCTTCACTCTTCACTGCTGTTTGTTAGTTCCTGGGGCCATTTCCTATTGAACGCCACACTGTTCATTGACTGCTGACTTGTTTCAAACATACTCGCTATTCTTGCTGAAAGGACACCTTAAGTTTAACCTGTGAACAAGGTCAGAATTTTGTCAACATAAATGACAATCTTCGGTCCCTCTGACCAAGAAAGAGGTGTAACTGTCCATACAAACTCTGTTGATCCTTTCCTTGGCATTTTGCTTTGCTCTGCAGGGGTCAGTGTCTGAACTTTGTCTCACTTCACTGGAAAATTCTGATGCACAACCTATGACTCCTTTAAATGTCACAACTTGCTTTGAAATGCGTAAAAATGCTAAATCACTATGTTTTGTCACTTTAATAAAAAACTGTGATTTTTCACATGCATGACTTGTAGGTCTAATGAAGCAATTTTAAATAGGTAGATGACAGTCCAGTAAGTAGAGCAAAAAAACTTGTGCTCATGAGAAAACAAAAACTGCAGATAAGGCATAATCTAATTTTCAAGCTCTCTTCCCTTCTCTATGTTTCTTTCACTTTGTCCCCCTTTCTCTTCACCTGTTCTTTGCCCAGCGAGGCAGTACTGCAGTGGGAAAGCGTTGAGGAACCTATTCCCCTGTGCGATCAGACCCTCGCCACGCTCAAATATGCTTAGCGCGTCCAACCAAAGCCCTTATTTAGCGCTTTGCTTTTTGAAGAAGTGGAAACTTATTTCACCCCTTACCTCCACAGAAAAAGACAAGGGAGTGCAATAATGTTGTCGCATTACATGCACCAGTCAGCTCCCAATGGAGTGTAGACCTTTGAATTGTTTACTTAAGTGGAAATCAACTTTTGTATTTGGCTTGGCTGGAAGCAGTGGTGCCGTTTTTGAGCAGCATGAAGCCAAATCTCGGACGTGCTGCTTCTGAGGCCACATTTTGATGGAAGCACATTAGTACCAAGTGCAGGACTTTGAGACTGGAGACCAGGGTACACGTCCTGCATGCTAAGGTTAGGGTAAGATCATGGTTACATGCTGATAAAGTAAACACAGTCTTCTTTGTGCTTCCAGTCAGTTGACTTTTTCTGTATTTAACCAAAACAATGATCTCTCTAACCTTTACCAAGGGTCTTGTTTAAATTAAGGCTGGGCACTTTAACGCGTTATTATCACGTTAACACATTAATTAATTAACGCCGACAATTATTTTATCGCACGTTAACGCAGTTTTTATTTTATTATTATTAGTTTGAAAGTCCCTTGCTCACTGGCTCTGAATACACTTACAGTCAAACCATGGGTCACAGGAGGGGTGGGATGTTGATCAGCCTGCAAATCACCCACCCAAACAAGCAGTAGAGGGAGGCTTCGGCAGACTACGCTGTCATCTTTTTTCCATATTTTTCCACACGCGATCCGTTATCACGGCAGCAGGTGAGCCGCTTGCTTGTTAATGACGCAGCCTATCAAACAACTCAAACAGCCGAAACCAACATCTGCACCCTGTGTCCCTCACCCCCCACCCTACTGAACAGACTGTTTCTGCTGCTCCCTGATAAAAGATACCTGTTCAGAAAAAAAAAAAATTGGACTCTGATGGTTGTTTTAACAAGCTAGATAAAAGATAATGCCCTGGCAGTGGCAAATAGCTTTGGTTTAATATTTGATTTGATTATATTAATGTTTAAGTTGAGAGAAATATTATAAGAAATATTTTATTGGTACTGTGTAAAGGGAATACCGCTGGTAAAAAGCACCATATTTGTTTATTATTTGTTCAATATCAATAAAAATAACATGGATAAAAAGAGCCTGGCTGTCTAGACCTTACTGCTATTGGGCAGGTTGTTTCAACTCATATGAGACAATATATAATTATGCTGCCTATAGTTTACAGACAGTCCTTTGCTGCTTAATTGAAGTAGATTTAAACACACCATAATGTGATGTAATCACACCAAAAAGCTGATCTTTTATGCAATATCTACATCATTATGTAATGTGTAATGTAATTATGTCACCAATTTGTCACATAAGCTCTTTATCGACAAAAGGACAAAAAAACACCAAAGCAAGAGTAAAACTTTATTAGCAATATTGTGGAAGTTTTGATCTTGAACTGCTTTTTCGTTACATTACGTCAGGCTACACACCAGTTTTAGAACAAGCTATTTAGAATGTGCATCAGAACGAGAGGTGAATTATAGCTTTAGAACGTGCATACGTGCAAACTATTTGAAGATTATTTGACAATCCTTTGGAAACCACTCGTAATTTCAGTGAGCAGCCATTTAAATGAACAACATGGATTTAAGTTGCAAAGCTAAACACAAGTTAAATGAAAAAGAAAACCAGAAAACTTGGGTGATTTGTTGGATTTGCAGCAAAAAGGTGTTGGCCAAAGATGCTAGTACTATACGAATGGAATAAAATGAAAAATACAAATAAATCTTTAATCCCAGTTATTTGTATGACAGTTAATTAGTGCCGCAGGTTAAACTGGACTAACAAAACTGTTTTAGGGCTACGAATGGACATTCACCTGCCTAGCAACAATAAGGCTATAAACAAACCATATGGCAACAGTCTCTTTTGATTCAAATATATTTGATGATCCACACTTTTTTCACGTAATTCCATAGAAAAATATTGTGTTATGTTTGGGTCAATATGATATTTTAAGAATGCCATCTTGGGTAGTGAGTGATACCTCATTTTTCCAAATATGCATGCATGCTCACACGCCAGATACGTTAATTAATAATGTTTCCTCATGATGTAAAAAACGTAATTTGTGCTTCCTTATAAAAATATTTGCTGTTGCATATTACATAATTTAAATTCTGCAGACAGGGTTGACTTTTCCTGGTGTAACATTTAGCTTGCACACTTGTTAATGATATTTGGGCCCTATGCATGTTTCAGAGAGGAAAATAAAAGTGAACTCCTCAGTGATGAGAAAGATGTACTTGTATTTAAGAACACGGAAGACAGAAGATTATAGGCTATTGAAGGGGTCTCATGGTTAATAATGTGTTCTCTTATTGGTGACTGATAATGTCATATCAGGAACTAATTGCCTGCACTGTTGCCTCATTAAGCACAGCACAACTGCCACAGGGCACTGGCTGCACACCTTGCCATAATCACTTCCATTTCAATATGTCCCTGTATTAATCCTTCTTCTCCTGCTCTGCTGTTTGTTCTCCTGGCTTGCACCACATTTACACTCCTTTTATTGTGTGATAGTGGGGGCCAGTTTTCTTCAAATTATGAAAAAACTTGGGATCTTAAGGTTTATCTATGGATTTAATTTCTTACTGTGGAACTTGTTCTGACATCCTCATACAACCCACATTTTTTCATCATTTTATATCCCCCTGTTTTTAATTCATGTCTCTTCTTGCTCTTATCTATCTATATTTTTATTGAATTTTTTGCATAGTCTCTGTAGTCATCTGTCTATGTTATAGTCTTTAACAGTTGCATTTCACTCTCATTTCATTTCCTTCTCTCTCTCTGTCTTCACATTCAATCTGGAGCAGTTTATCTCTCCCCTTCCCTCTGTATCCTTTCACCCCTCCATTTCATGCCCACTGCCCTGCCTCTGGGCCACACTTCCCTCCACCCCTCTACGCTCCATTCCAACCTCTCCCCCTCTTTTATTTATGGGAATATGCTGATGAGGCAAACCCAGGTAACGATAGAATATTTCTTGTGAAGTGAGAAGGCAGAAGAGTGAAAGAGAACACACAATTAATCACGGAGCTGTCATTTGTCCTAAAAGCAAAGCCATTCATCAAAGGGAGCAGAAGAAAAAAAAATAAAGAAAAGGTTGAACAAGGGAAAGAGGAGAGAGAAAAATACGAATTACAGGAACTTTGCACGATCTAATTGGGTTAGTGGCAAATAATGTGGCTGGGTTAGTGCTTCTTCAAAGATGGAACAGCAGCGGTTGGAGATCAGCTTCAGCATGAGAAAGATTCAACCTCATGGGAGATAAAACAAGAAATATGGCAACCTCGATCAGTTGCCTGCCGTCCCTACGCTTCAAATCCAATTGCATGTTTGTAACTCAACCGTGTGCTAACTTGCTACATGGACACTTGGAATTGAGACCAAAACAACATCACCTAAATGTCAGAGAGACTTGTCCATTTTCTCCAAGAGCACACATAAACCGAAAAAGGGCAAGAGAAGTATAATATAAACAAAGAATGAAATAACAGATTTAACCTGAGGGAATATCATTCCGTCAATCTGTCATTTTATTTGACAGAGGTCATTCTTTCTTTTGGAATGCTGGCTGGGCCTGTCACAAAACATTAGAAAAATGAAAACTTGTTCGGCGACATTGTGTATGAATTTAGATTAAAACACACACACACACACACACACACACACACACACACACACATCTGTTCCTTTTTGTGTGTGTCTGTCTGTGTTAGAACAGCCATCAGAGGAAGAAAGAGAGAGGACTGATAAAATGAGGGAAAGGTGAAAGTGGGCGATGATGTTGGTGATAAACAGAGGGAGCTGCTTCTTGCGCGAGACCAGAAGCCATGCAGGGCTGAAGTTGGAGACGTAGCTCGTGGTGAGAAGAATAATGCACCTTGACAGAACAGCACTCTCTGCCAACACGACCAACGATTTCCCCTGAAGCAGAGTGATGTGGAGCGCAAGTAGCACCTGTGACACCAACTGCCACCCCAGGGGAACATCAACAACTAGCCACCTGTTAAAAAATGCACTTGCCAGCATCACACCCCATTAAATTCATTCAATTTCTTGTGATTGACGTCATTGTGAGATACGATGTCTGATTCTTCTTCTGACCTCAAAAGTCACACAAGTCAGATACTCAACAGAAAATTAGCATTATTCACAACTTGCGCTCATCAGGAAAGATATATAATATACTTTACTTAAAGGGAGAGTATGTAAGAAGAAATATTCTGCTGTTATATTGTCTTGCTTTAAAGTCAAAATGAAATTTGATTTAAAGAGATCCAGGCAAACTTCAAACCATGAAAAACATTATGCAAATATGATATTTATGTTTATTTCATGTATTAATTTGAGGATCGTGAAAGTCCCCTCATCACTCTACACAGATCTGATGTTTTCATCTGTCGCAATCTTTCATCTCCTCAGTGCAGTGGAGGCTTGAATGATGTTTCTGCTTCATGATTTATTTGGTTGTTTCTGTTGAACTTTGAGGTATTTTTTTCCACCTCAGCCAAGTATAAACTCTTTTATGCAACTATCTTCAAATTATTTCCACTTACAAATTTTTATACACAAATTGAAAATGTGCATAAAAACAGGTGGGTGGAAACATAATAAGAGACAACTCCTGCATGCTCAGTGTTGTGTTTGTCCCACACTGTAGAAAGCAGAGGGTCTAGCTAGCATTAGCTGTCTTTCTTTCATAAATTGTGGTGATGGCAAAAAACATAGTAATGGATTAATGTAGGGTAACAGCTAACGTTGACGCCACCGCTAGTTACTTGCCTGACTGTAGTCTTATAACAAAACTGGAGAACACCAAGGGAGCAGTGTCACTCCATGAAACCATGTACAAGTATACAAGTCAAAACAAAAACCAAGGATATACAGTATACTGATTTCATATCAGCAATCGCATTAAATCCCATTTTGCCTTACATACAGGTTCTTACATCACAGACTGCATTTTGTAAAAGAAGCAGAGAAGTTAATCAAGAATTCAAGATAAGTCTGCACATACTTTCAAGGACGACTGTAGGATAGGGTGAGCAGTTTCTTTGATCTTAATCAGAAAATGTATGCAATTTCCCATCTTGCGTGGTGCCAAATGTTGAAATATTCAGTATGTGCTAGTGCCACAGTATGTAAATAGAGGTTTACTTAATCTCAGAGCTAATGGCTGGCTGAGAGGCTGTGGAGGCTGTGGTTGTACACTTAATGGAAAACCTGCACTGCTTTGTGCAGTAGTAATGGGAGGAGATTATCTTGCCATGCAGAAGGACTG